GTCCTCATTTGCATCTGATGACAGGCCCAATCCACTTTACATCCTCTTTCATTCAATGTTTCTGCCAGTGGGAGGCTATTATGCACCACTCGCCACCAAAAATCTCAACCTTTGGAGGAGCCTGTAATTTCCAAATTACATTAAAAAGGTTCAATTGTTCAATAGTAGGTGAAGTTTGATTCATTAACCCCACTTCATATGCATTTACTTGATTCAGCATGATATAATATCCCGGCTTCACACTATATTCTCCATCTTTTGTATAAATCCGATAGACTGATGGCTTGATAAATTGACTTTTCCCAACTTCCTCTTGTTTGATAAAATGCCTCAAAGCTCTAAAATCCCATCTCACTGTCCGCAGTAATCAGATCAAAGACTTTTAGATTAGGATTCATCAATTGTCTTCGCCACTTGCTAACTTAGATGGCTTAGCTGGAAGCCAGTTATCCTTTCATGCCCGTATATTCTTTCCATTTCCGACAATCTATCTAGTGCCATAGCAAAGAAGCTGCTTACATTGAACAATACTTTTCCAAGCATAGCTAACATTCCTATGATCCTCTGCATCTTGAAATGAAGATTTATAATAATATTTTGGTCTATAAACACGAGCCAGCAGAGATTTAGTATAACTAAGAAGCCTCCAACCTTGTTTAGCAATAAAAGCTTTATTAAAATCAACAAAGATCTTGTATCAACCTTGCTATTTTTGAGTTTGTTATTCTCTTCTTAATTGAATCAAACTTATCCACGTTTAATACAAAATTGATTACTTGTCATTTCGGGAATAAAACTCCGAAAGCGGGTTGTCACATGGTTACTATTATTTTCTCCTTAAAAATGTCTAAACATATCCCAGTTTTCTAAACAAAGAAAAACCATAATGGACTTGGTCTTTTGACTAAATTTGACAAACCACAACCTATTAACATGGGTTCTCCAAATTTAGTAGCTATACGCAAATTTTCAGTGAATTTTACGTATTCGATACCAATTATAATACTTTCTAAAATTATCCAAACCTGATGAAGCTTTATGTCTACATATATCTACCTCAAAACAACATAAAGATTAATAAATAAAAAAACAAACACAATCACTGGAAGATAATTTGGGAAAGAAGATAGTAAAATTTTGACGCTAAGAAATGGCAACATCATTCGTTCTGTCCAAAATCGCCATGGCAACAATTATGTTGCAGCTACTCTTAAATTATGCTTCAGCCTCTCCTCATATGAAATACATTGACGCTGTATGCGATCGCGCCCATGACCAAGCTTTTTGTGAGAAAACATTAACTTCATATCCCCCTACAGCTGCTCCCATTGGCCTGGTATTCATCTTTCATTTAGAGCTCGATTGTTTCTATGCATTTGTTTTAACGTTTACTTCTACAACTGTTGTACCTTTTTCCACACTCATATTTTAAAATCTTCATTCAAATTCGTTTGACAAGTATACATACGCTTTCAAGAGTGGAGTCTTTTCTATATCTAAACAAATATGTTGTTGCTATTAAAACAAACGTGTTTATTTTAGTTATATTTATACCGTTAATACCTCGTTACAGTTTAATGTTTTTTTTTTTTAATCTCAATCGTAAATGTAAATGTATCATTACTTGATACTAATAATTTTTTTTTTTTTTTACAATTATCTTTCAAAAAGCATCCTATGGCGGAGGCTGTGATCGGTCTAGCGATATCGCACGCCGAGAAAACAGCGATTTTTGTAGATGAAACGGCGAAAAAAGATCCAACTTTGAAGACTCCATTTACGGAGTGCCACAAGGCCTACTTGGCGGTGGATGCTGCTCTCAAGAGTGCAAATTTGAAGCTTAAGCAATCTCCAGACACGGCCAACTACGACGTTAGGGCTTGCAGCGACCATATGAGGCTCGTGACGGAATTGGTTGGAAAAAATACTGACAAGGCTTCAACTGATCTCAAAGATATGACTGTGCAAATGGAGAAATTACTCGATCTTGCAGCTGGAGCCGCTGATGCCGTTGACGACGATGACGAGAACATACACCGTCGCGTTTGATGATGTTAAAGCGGACGACTTTATCTTTTTTTTTATAACTTTTTCTCATGCAAAAAGACAATACATATAAATATATAAACAAATAATATGGTAAATTATTCATTTATTTTTTTCAAATATGGTATACTAATAATATGGTAAATTACTAATCCCTTTTTATGGAATATTTACTGATGTTTTTTTTTGTTTTGGTCGAATGGAATAGTTACTGATGTTATGTTGCCAATTTTGTAATAAGTTTTATTTTTTCAATTTGTATTGAGTTTTAATTTTGGGTCAATAAAGCTAAACAACGCAATGTAAATTGCGTCGAAAGAGATTATAACCTCTTGGTACATTCATTAGATCCAAAGCACATGTCTTAGAGGAGAAAAAGAGTCATAAAAGCTTAAAATTCAAGGCCATTCATGCTTTGACATAGAGATTCCCATTTCTCCACTATATATAGACTCAAAGAGAAAGAGTAGAGTGCGAGAGAGATTTCCGGCGAAGCTTTCCTGATTCAAGTCGCCACTAACACCGTCGCTGATCGCCGAGGGAAAGAAGAAAAACGCCTACCACAGAGAGTGGAGGAGATTATATAAGCGAAAGAGAGGAGGAGAGCTATTAATATATTGATATAGTTGGAATTAGTAGTCTCCTTTAGCTTAAGTCTAATTACTTCC